GGCATGGTGTGGTCTCTGATGACCCAGCCTGAGAGTCCTGTGGGACCACCTTGCCCAGCCTCTCCTGGTTAAAGAAGTCACAAGCCCACCCAACCCCGAGGAGAGGGACGCAGACCTCATCTCTCAAGGGGACAACTGTTGAAGAGCTGTACTCGTGTTCTCCAAGTGCCACAGTGCAAGCGTCAGACCCACTGACCCACATAATCCAGACAGAATCCCTGAGTGGGGAGGAGCTGAGGGAGGAGGAGCTGAGGGAGGAGAAGCTGAGTGGGAAGGAGAGGAGCTGAGTGAGGAGGATCTGAGTGGGGAGGAGCTGAGTGGGAAGGAGAGGAGCTGAGTGAGGAGGATCTGAGTGGGGAGGAGCTGAGTGGGGAGGAGCTGAGTGGGAAGGAACTGAGTGGGAAGGAGCTGAGTGGGGAGAAGCTGAGGGAGGAAGAGCTGAGGGAGGAGCTGAGGGAGGAAGAGCTGAGTGGGGAGAAGTTGAGTGGGGAGGAGCTGAGGGAGGAGGAGCTGAGTGGGGAGGACCTGAGTGGGGAGCAGCTGATTGAGAAGATGAGTGGGTAGTAGCTGAAAGGGAAGGAGCTGAGTGGGGAGGAGCTAAGTGGGAAGGAGAGGAGCTGAATGGGGAGGAGCTGAGTGAGGAAGAGCTGAGTGAGGAGGAGCTGACTGAGGAGCTGAGTGGGAAGGAGCTGAGTGGGGAGGAGCTGACTGGGAAGGAGCTGAGTGGGAAGGAGCTGAGTGGGGAGAAGCTGAGGGAGGAGGAGCTGAGAGAGGAGCTGAGGGAGGAAGAGCTGAGTGCGGAGAAGCTGAGTGGGGAGGAGCTGAGGGAGGAGGAGCTGAGTGAGGAGGAACTGAGTGGGGAGAAGCTGAGTGGGGAGTAGAAACAAAACTAAGTGAAACTAAAGGAAAAACTAGAAAAAAACTAGGAAAGAAAAAAACTAAATCTGAAACTAAATAAAGGAAACTAAAGAAAAACTAAATGAAGAAACAAGTAAAAACTAAATGGAAAAACTAAGTAAGAAGAAACAAGTAAAGAACTAAGTAAAGGAAAAACTAAGAAAAACCCAAATTAAAAGGAAAAACTAAGTAAAGGAAAAACTAAAAGAAGAAAGAATCTAAGTAAAGCTATGGAAATAAAGAAGAAATTAAAGGAAAAGAAGCAAAAGAAGAAAACTAAATGGAAAAACAAATAAAAACAAATAAATAAAAGAAAAAACAAAAGAAGAAAAAACTAAATAAAAACAAAAAAGAAAAAGAAAAACTAAATAAAAACTAAATAATGAAGAAACTGATAAAATAAAGGAAAGAACTAGTAGGAAAGGAAACTGAAGTAGAAAACTAGGAAGGAAGAAGGAAACTAGATAAAGGAAAACTAAACTGAAGTAAAGGAAGAAACAAAGAAAGAAGAAACTATAAGTAAAGGAAAGAATTAGAAAAACTAGAATAAAGGAAAACTAAATGAAAAAGCTATAAATTGAAAAGAAACTGAGAAACTGAAGTAGGGAAGGAAACAAGTCAAAACTAAAGGGAGGGCTGGTGGGGGAGGCTGAGTCGGGAGGAGTTGAAGGAGGAGAGGCTGAGTGAGGAGGGCGGGTGAGGAGAGGCTGAGTGAGGCTGAGGTGGGGAGGCTGAGGAGGAGGAGGCTGAATGGGGAGGAGGCTGGAGGGAGGAGGAGCTGGGTAGGAGGAGCTGGTGGGGAGAAGCTGAGTGGGGAGGAGCTGAGGAGGAGGATTGAGGTGGGAGGAGCTGAGGAGGAGGAGCTGGTGGGGAGGAGCTGGTGAGGAGGCTGAGGAGGAGGAACTGAATAGGGAGGAGCTGAGGAGGAGGAACCAGATAGGAGGAGCTGAGGAGGAGCTGAGTGGGGAGGAGCTGAGTGGGGAGGAGCTGGGTGAGGAGAGACTGAGGGGAGGAGCTGAGGAGGAGGAAACTGAATAAAGGAAGCAGCTAGAGAGAGCTGAAGCGAGAGGAAACTGAAGTAAAGGCTGAGGAAGGAAAGCTGAATGAGAGCTGAGAGGAAGAGAGCTGAATAGGGGAAGGGAAACTGAGAAGCTGAGTGAGGAGGAACTGAGTGGGGAGAAGCTGAGTGGGGAGGAGCTAAGGAGGAGCTGAGTGGGGAGAGGCTGAGTGGGGAGGAGCTGAGGGAGGAGGATCTGAGTGGGGAGCAGCTGAATGGGGAGGAGTTGAGGGAGGAGGAGCTGAGGGAGGAGGAGCTGAGTGGGGAGGAGCTGAGTGGGGAGCAGATGAATGGGGAGGAGCTGAGGGAGGAGGAGCTGAGTAGGGAGGAGCTGAGGGAGGAGGAGCTGAGTGGGGAGGAGCTGAGTGAGGAGGAGCTGATGGAGAAGCTGAGGGAGGAGGAACTGAGTGGGGAGGAGCTGAGTGGGGAGGAGCTGAGGGAGGAGGAGCTGAATGGGGAGGAGCTGAAAAGCTGAGTGGGGAGGAGCTGAGGGAGGAGGAGCTGAGTGGGGAGGAGTTGAGGGAGGAGGAGCTGAATGGGGAGGAGCTGAGTGAGGAAGAGCTGAGGGGAGGAGTTGAAGGAGGAGGAGCTGAGGGAAGAGGAGCTGAGTGGGGAGGAGCTGAGTCCAGAGGAGCTGAGGGAAGAGGAGCTGAGTGAGGAGGAGCTGAGTGGGGAGGAGTTGAAGGAGGAAGAGCTGAGTGAGGAGGAGCTGAGTGAGGAGGAGCTGAGTGGGGAGAAGCTGAGTGGGGAGGAGCTGAGGGAGGAGGAGCTGAATGGGGAGGAGCTGAGGGAGGAGGAGCTGAGTGAGGAGGAGCTGAGTGGGGAGAAGCTGAGTGGGGAGGAGCTGAGGGAGGAGAAGTTGAGTGGGGAGGAGCTGAGGGAGGAGGAGCTGAGTGGGGAGGAGCTGAGTGAGGAGGAGCTGAGGGAGGAGGAACTGAATGGGGAGGAGCTGAGGGAGGAGGAACTGAATGGGGAGGAGCTGAGGGAGGAGGAGCTGAGTGGGGAGGAGCTGAGTGGGGAGGAGCTGAGTGAGGAGGAGCTGAGGGAGGAGCTGAGGGAGGAGGAGCTGAATGGGGAGCAGCTGAGGGGGGAGGAGCTGAATGGGGAGGAGCTGAGTGAGAAGCTGAGTGGGGAGGAGCTGAGGGAGGAGGAGCTGAATGAGGAGGAGCTGAGGGAGGAGGAGCTGAATGGGGAGGAGCTGAGGGCCGGAGTGATAGTCGAGTGGGGAGATCGGAGGAGGATATGAGTGCCTGAACTGATGGTTCTGAGTGATGATGAGCCGAACTGGGGATGAGCCCGAGGATATCGAGGATGATGGAGTTGAGTGGGAGGAGCTGGGGGAGAGGAGCTGAGGGAGGAGCTGAGGGGGGAGGAGCTGAATGTAGAGGAGCTGAGTGGGGAGGAGCTGAGGGTGGGGAGGAGGATCTGAGGGAGAGGAGCTGAGTGGGGAGATTGGGAGAGGAGCCGAGATACCGAGGACATCGATGATGAAATATTCTCGAACGATGATGATCGCGATGGATAGCCGAACGTATATCTTATGGGAGCGTTCTGAGCGGGAGCAGTTGTCTGATGATATATTCGAACCGGGATGATCGAGCGGAGGAGCTGAGTGAGGAGGAGCTACAAGATGAGGAGGAGCTTTCAGCCGGGCAGGGTGTGGGCAGAAGCGGGAACTCCAGAAACCCAGGGAGGACCGGGCTCCCTGCCTTTCCAGCTCCTCCCAGGAGACTCAACACCCCCAGAGCCATGGATCTGCCCGGCCTCTGCCTTCCTCCATGCTCTGACTAGGACACCAGTCAGTCGATTGAGGCCCAGCCTGAACCAGCAGGGACGATCTCATAGCTGGTTCTTTGGGGAGCAGCTGAGGGGGGAGGAGCTGAACGGGGAGGAGCTGAGTGAGGAGAAGCTGAGGGAGGAGAAGCTGAATGAGGAGGAGCTGAGGGAGGAGGAGCTGAATGGGGAGGAGCTGAGGGGGGAGGAGCTGAGGGAGGAGGAGCTGAGTGTGGAGGAGCTGGGGGGAGGAGCTGAGGGGGGAGGAGCTGAGGGGGAGGAGCTGAGGAAGAGCTCAGGGGGGAGGAGCTGAGGGAGGAGGAGCTGAGTGGGGAGAAACTGAGTGGGGAGGAGCTGAGGGAGGAGGAGCTGAGTGGGGAGGAGCTGAGTGAGGAGGAGCTGCGTGAGGAGGAGCCGAGCGGGCAGGTGTGGGCAGGCGGGGAACTCAGAAACCCAGGGAGGACCAGTTCCTGCCTTTTCCAGCTCCCAGAGACCCCTGCTGCACCCTCAGAGCCGATGGATCGTTCCGGCCTCTGCCTTCCTCCTCATGCCTCTGACAGAACACCAGCCACCGGATTGAGGGCCCAGCCTGAACGCAGGATGATCTCAGCTGGTTCTTTTATTACATCCGCAAAGACCCTACTTCCGAAGAAGGTCCACTCGCCAGTGCTGGGGGCCAGGACGGGGACATGGAGTGAACCCCACCCCGTGAAGGCTGTGGGATGAGGGGTCCCCGTCGGCACCCTGAACAGCAGAGCTGGTGGAGAACACCTGGGAAGACCAGGAAGGGGCAGAGGTGTTTCAAGGGCCACTGAGTCACACCTGCAGGGAGGGCGCTGAGGCAGGCGGGGCCCAGGGCCTGGGTGTGTGCGTGTGTGTGTGTAGTGGTGTGTGTGTGTAGTGGTGTGTGTGTGAGAAATGGTATGTGTATAGTGTGTAGTGGTGTGTGTGTAGTAGTGTGTGCATGTAGTGGTGTATGTGTGTACTGATGTGTGCATGTCGTGAGTGTAGCACTGTGTAGCAGTATGTGTGTAGTGGTGTGTGCAGTGGTGTGTGTGGTGTGTGTAGTGGTGTGTGCGTGTAGTGGTGTGTGTAGTGTGTGTGTAGTGTGTGTACTGGTGTGTGCATGAAGTGGTAAGTGGTAAGTGTAGCTGTGTGTGTGTAGTGGTATGTGTGTAGTGGTGTGTGCAGTGGTGTGTGTGGTGTGTGTAGTGGTGTGTGCGTGTACTGATGTGTCTGTGTAGTGGTGTGTGTAGTGTATGTGTGTAGTAGTATGTGTGTAGTGGTGTGTGTGGTGTGTGTGGTGTGTGTAGTGGTGTGCACGTGTACTGATGTGTCTGTGTAGCGGTGTGTGTCATGGCGTGTGGTGAGCTAATGACCCCAGTCCCCAACACCCAACTCTACCTTCTGCCACCTGGAGCAGAGGCGAGCCGTCCCCACCAAGTCCACATTGCAGATTCATGAGCAAAATCAGTGCTGCTGCTGCAGTTCCACACCACGACGTTTTGAAGTCATTTTCTGAGCAGACACAGCCCCTGGCAGCACACTCTGTAGATGGGACAACTGAGGCCTGGGGCTGTGCCACCCTCCCAGCCAGGAGTGGAGCCCATGCTGTTGGAGACTGGCATGGCCTTCACCATGGGCTGCTGGCCCAGTGGGGGAGACCCAGGCACCCAGGGAACGGACACGCTCCTCACTGTCGAGCAGGAATCGCTTACGGCGGAGGCCTTCGCCACAGCTCCCAGCACGATTGATGTTCAGGAAACACGGGCCGACGGCTAATTCTCCGCAGCTGATTTCCTAAATGCCAGTTAAATGCTCCAGCGTCCCTTATTGCCGGAACGCGCACTCCACAGCTCGTCAGACGTCCCTCATTACGGATGTAGCTGTGACTTAATTGTCGGGCAGCCACATTCATTTCCTGGAGGGAGACCCAGAATCGGGGTCAGGAGGAGAGGGAGAGACGGAGACAGTGAGGGAGCGGGGGAAGTACAGGGGGAGAGAGACCCCATTTGTGCGGTGTTGTTCTCCAGGCGAAGCGAGGACCTGGAAGGGGACCTGCCGGGGACACACAGGTGCTGGCTGAGTATTGACCTCATAGGTGATTGAAGGGCCCTGGAATTTCTCTAAGATTCTGGAACTGAAGGCGTCTCAGTCCGTCTGCACCACTGTTACACGTTACCTGAGAGCAGGCAACTTCTACAAGGTACCACTGTCTTCTCTCCAGTTCTGCAGCCCGGGAAGTCCAGGACGAAGGCACCAGCCTCTAGCAAGGGCCTCCTGACTGTGCCCAACCTGGTGGGAGGCCAAAGGCCAGAGATCAGCTGGCTCAGCACCAAGTGAAGAAGCCACTTTTACAAAGGCCTGAATCCCATTAACAAGGACAGCACCCTTGAGGACAAGGCACCCCTAACACTGCCTGGTGGGCAGCACCTGGATCTCGGAGGGCACGCGGTCCTCCACAGCACAGGGGACGGACGTGCCCGTGCTCTCGGGGATGGGGGCTGCCAGCCAGGGAGAGGGGACCTCGGGCGGTGAAGGAGGTCCCTGTTCATGCCTGGGTCCCGCAGGGAACACAGGGAGCGGAGGACCGAAGACGGGTACGTGGAAGTTGCCGGACACAGAGCCCCTCTGACGACAGAATCCAAACCTGGCTGACTCAGAGGAATGAGCCGGCTGGAAGAACATGGATGTAGGTCCTGGGCACACCCGCCGGCAGGGAGGGACGTGGCCTTCCAGGTGCTCTGTGCCTGTCCTCCTGTGGAGGGAAAAACAGAATCTCCGTCAGCTCAGGGTCCCCGCGGCCCAGGCCTGTATCTGCACTCTGGGAGGCCGGATGGTGTGGGGAAGGGAGGTGGGCGTTCCAGTCGGGTTAGGCCTCCACACTTGGCTAGGGATTTCATCTGGGGAGGGGAAGGCGAGGTGGCGGCGGCGTCCTCAGCCCAGGGACCAGGTGGTCTTTGGAACCAGGACCATGGGGGGTGCCGGCTGCAGGAGCAGGAGGCAGAGTGACTGTCACCACAGGGGCCACCCAGGGCAAACGGGAGGAAACGCCTGGGCTGCCCCTTACCCAGCACCAAAAAGAAAAGACAAACCGGTGAACTGAATGAGTTTCACCTCAACTCGGTATGCCCCAAATGCTGCCAATGGGGCACTCATCCTTACATTTAAAATGTTTTTGTTTATACAGAATTTTTGGAAGTGGTTTTAAAAAGCTCAAACTCAAGCCAGGAGGCAGTGGCGTCCCCAGTGGCACGTTTGTGGTGCTGGCAGATGGGGGCTCCGTGCTGGGGGACCGAGCGCTTCCCAGGGCAACAGGAGTCAGGCTCTGGTGCAGACGAGAAGGCTGGGCTGAGGTTCCGTTTTGGACACAGCGAAGGGGGGGTGGCAGGAGATGCCCGAGGGCGTGGCCAAGAAACCACGGTCCACTGCCCCTCGCACGCCTGAGGCATGACCCATTCTGCATATCCTTGCGATGAGAATACTGAAGCTCAGAAGGAATGAACAGTTTGCGTGTTAAAAGAAAAAACAAAGATACACAGCAAAGCTTTGAACTGAGGCTGAGGCCAAACAGGAAGGGGCCGTTTAGGGGGAATGGCCGGGACTCCTCACAGCTTCTCTGTGCGCTGAGCTTTCATTTGAATGTTGACCATCAGGTTCATGTTGCCTTTGTCATTTAAAAATTATAAATAAAACTGAAACCCTGTTTTAATTAGGGAAAAGGCTGTTGGTTTATGCAGAGGAAAATCACTATTTCACTCCCTTGCCCCAGGGGACTCTAGGAGGGACCGTGCTGCCTACAGGGCGACGAGGCTGGAAGTGGCCTGGCTGCCCCACCTCCTGGGGCTCCTGCCTGCTGGGTGCACAGGAGCCACCGGCCTCTGGGGCCCAATCCTGACTTGTTGCTAAATATTCACGATCAGCATCCTGCAAGACCCTCTGCAAGGGCCTCTAATGGAACCCAGCAGTTCCCCTCCACCGAGCCCAGACTGGAGGGAGGGGAAGGCGCAGGGAGACGCTGCCTGGGAGGTGCTGCGCTGGGCAGAGGGCACGGGGCAAAGGCCCAGGCCGGGGTTGCTGTTAGTTTGCTTCACAGAAGCAGGGTACAGAACGCCTGGGGCGGAGTGGGGGAGGGGGGCACAGGGCGCAGCCGGGGAGGACACTGGCGACAGCCCAGCCTGGGTCAGCAGTGACAAGCACCCGGGAGCGCCCGGACACGCAGGTCCCAGCCCAGACCCGCTGTGCCCAGACGTGCACATCCAGTTGAGTCTGGGGTGGTCCCAGAGCTGCCACAGTCTGAGTTCTAACCAGCGGGGCCAGGAGCCTCACAGCCAGCCTGGCCCTCTGGCCTCTCACCCGAGTCACAGAGGTTGTCCCGGCCACTCAGGCCCCTTTTGGAGCCTCCTCAATTCTCCACAGAGCGTCACCCAGCAGGTGAGCCCAGAGGCCCTGGCCTGGCTCCTCCAGGGCCACTCAGCTCCACTCGGCCCTGCGGGGCCCCGTCTACAGACGGTCGGCTGGGTCAGGCAACACGACATCCCTCCTGGACAGGCCTGGGTGCACTGAGGTCAGGAACGCCACAGACCAGCAGGCCAAGGACACGACGTGGCCAGAAGGCCTGGGCCAGAGCCTCCCCCGTGCCCTGGAGCCCCCACACACCTGCTCCTGCTCAGCAGGCCTGGCTTCCGTCCCCCCGCTCCCCCACACCCAGGCCCGGCCCCTGCAGAGATCAGTGTGGGGATCCAGCCTCCTGCCAGTCCCATCTCCCAGTTCCCATCCACCCTTCAGGAGCTCTGCACAGCAGTGAGGCCAGGAAGAGCCAGGCTGACACCTCCTCCTGCAAGAGCAGGATCCGTGGTGCCACCTTGGAGCTGAGGTGCAGAGCCCGGCTGTGGGTGACTCTGGGTGAAGGCCCAGTTGTGCCTGAGGTTAGCTGTGGCCCCCCAGCGGAGTCCCTTCCACTGAAGCCATGTGACTTGTCACCACCAGCAGAACACACCTAGGGTGACTGGAGAGCCTGCGGGGAGCCCGGAGAACTGGGATGTCACAGCTGGGGTGCGGACAGTCGGTGTGACAGTCTGGCAACCTCAGCGCAGTTCATCTGTTAGCTCAGGCTCCCGTCAACAAGCACAGACCAGGCGGACTGGACAGCGACAACGTGCCCCGTTCTAGAGGCTGAAGTCCCAGGTCCTGGTGTTGGCAGCAAAGGTTCCTCCTGGCTCTCCTTAGCGTGCAGACGCCACCATCCCCATCCCCTTCCCACGATGCTCTCCCTCCTCCGGCCTGCGTCCAGGTTGACCCCAGCTACATAGACCCCACCGTACAGGATCCGAGCCTTGATGACCTCCGTAACGACCTCTGTAAGGACCCCATCTCCGGATGACATCCCACTCCGAGGCCCTGGGACCCCACCCTACAGGATCCGAGCCTTGATGACCTGTGTAACGACCCCATGTCCCCAGATGACATCCCACTCCGAGGCCCTGAGGGCTAGGACTTCAGTGCATCTTCTGGGGGCCCCAGCTCAGCCCACAGCCGAGTGAGCCTGGAGTGTCTGCCTCCAGCGAGGTGCTTTCACTCCTGCAGCCGGCTCCTGGCCTCACCCGTCATCCGAGATGGGCCCAACAGCCCAGCACAAACCCCCCGTGACATCAGGAGGGAGGCCCTGGCCGAGTCCCAGTGGGAAAGGCTGTAGAGCCTGGCAAGGTGAACCTGGCAGGGCAGCTTGGGGAGCGCCCCAGCCCAGGCAAGGCTGCAGCGGCCTCTGGTGGCCGCACAGGCTCAGGACACCAGCGCCTCCGGCCCAGCCCGGCCCCACCAGCCCTGGGAGGGTGGGGAGAGGAGCACACCGGGTGTGACAGGCTGCCCAGGGCACAGCAAGAGGCGGGGCCCTGTCTGCTGCGCTGCAGCCTGGGCGCTGAGGGGCTCGGGCAGGACAGTCTGTGGAGAGTGGGGAAGGACTGGTCCCCGTGCAAGACTACTACACACAGGGTACCAGGGAGGGCCTCCCGGGGGCGGGGAAGGGGTGTTCAAACCGGGGCAACGCAGGGAAATGCAGCAGAGGCCACAGCTGTGGCTGGTGCGAGGCCCTGGGGCAGGAGCCGGTTCACTTGAGGAGCCCGCTGGGGCAGAGGGAAGCAGCCGGGGGATGCTGGGAGCAAGGGCACCATCTCCACCGTCACTCTGCTCCCCAAACCCCCGCTGGGCACACGGAGCGTTCCCAGCCAATGCTGGGCCAGCAGGGTGGCCCCCTCAAGTGGGAGCCGAGGTACTGCCCACCCTCCCCAGCCACGCCCACGCCCACCAAGCTCCGTTCCAGTGCCCTGTGCCACTCTCTGTCCTTGAATAAGCAGACTGTGAAAAGCAAACTGGGGGTCCCCATGTAGACAGAAAACCTGGTTTAGTACAAACTGAGTCCCCTGAATATAAACACCCCAATAACAAGGCTGTGCTGCAGCTGGACCAGGGCCTCCCATGGCGGGAAAACTCCGCTACAGCTGGACCAGGGCCTCCCAATGGGGGGAAACTCCAGAGGGGCCCAGGCACTGCCTGTAACTCTACGCAGCATCCACCCGGGGCCTCACAGGACTCCCAGAACAAAGGCGGGATCAGCAGGACACAGCCAGGGTGGGACGCTGACACAGGAACCCCCGACTCACATCACACCCCACTGACACCAACCCCCCCATTCACACGAACACCCCCTACTCACAACCAAAGTCCCCCCAGTCACACGGATCCCCCATTCACACGAACACCCCCTACTCACAACCAAAGTCCCCCCAGTCACACGGATCCCCCACTCACACTAACACCCCCCCACTCCCACACATCATACCTGTACATACCACCACACCCACCTTCCGCCACAACTGACTCAGGCAGAGAGAACCCCCCAGCTCCCTCCCAGGTGTCTGGAGTGGCCTCAGCAGAGGCCCTGAGCTCTCCAACAGTGAGGTCACTGGGGCCCGGGGAGTGAGGGAGGCTGGGTGACCTGTGACACTGGTGGGCCAGAGGCCCTGGGAAAGACCACGCTTCAGTTCCCCACCAAGCCGTCCCAGGCTGCAGGGGAGGCAGGGGCCTCGCTTTGCCATGTGCCTGGCGGGCTCAGGTGGATGTGAGGCCCTCGGCCTGGCAGAGGCATCCAGCCGCCCCGTCCACACTCCGAGCCACTCTCCTACAAAACCATTTATTCACAGGTGGGCCGGTGTCAGCTGAGTGTGAAGTGCTGGGCACAAAGTTCGCCCGGCCGTCCCAGCAGGCCCTGGGCTGGGATAAACTCCAGCGGCACCAGCTCGGACCCCTTCTTCTTCAGGTCCCGCTCAAAGATCTGCAAAGGACAAAGGACGGTGGCTCTCAGGCTTGGCTCAGCGCCCTGGGGCCCAGGCCCTCACACCCCGGCCCCAGTCCCATACCTCATAGGCCGTGAGCTCCAGCAGCGGCGCGATGCTGACCTCGGGCATGGACAGGGCCTGGTTGATGACGCTGGCGGCTTTGGACACCTCAGGATGGTAGTGGCGCTGGAGGGCCTGGGGCAGCAGGGCTGTCAAGGGGCAGCTACCCCAGGCCCCCGCCCTGTGCCACCAGCCACCACCTCCCTGTGCTCCTAACCAGAGTGGGCGGGGTGGGGGCAGAGCCATGGAAGACGGCCAAGCACCAAGCACCCACAAACCCTGGTGGCCAGTGGGGGACGCAGCACGAGGCTATGCGGGAGGTGGCACGGGGAGCTGGGCTTTCTGAGGGGCCAAAGGATAGCTCGGGAGGCCCCAGGGCGTGGCAGCAGCACCCTCACCTGAAGCTCCCACAGGGAGCTCTCCAAGGCCCGGCTCTGGGCTGGATCCTTCTCTCCGGGGTCGTAGGGGTCAGCGTCCAGCTCTAGGAATGAGATGCAGGCCCTCATTTGCTGTCCACCTCTCCAGGGCACCAGGCACCCCTGCCACAGGTCCGGCCCAGCCTCCGAGAGCCCCGCGACTCACCAGGGCCGTGTGGCCGGTGCACGAGGACCCGGCAGGCGGGGTGCCGGCGCAGCAGGTTACAGATGAAAGGCAGGACCATGAGCAGGGCCTCGGGGGGAGCCGTCAGGGCCAGGCGGGCCAGGCGCTTGGCGAAGGCGGCCACCAGGTAGGCAGGGAGGTGGCTGGGCAGGGCAGTGGTTGTGAGACAGGGCCTGGACCGCTAGCCCCGCCACCCTCCCCTGGCCCCAGGCTGCAGAAGCACAGAGCAGGGCAGAGCCAGGTGCTCTGGTACTCACGAAGAGGACAGGAAGAGGTCGGCCAGGTGGAAGAAACGGGCCCGGTACTTGACGTGAAAGACGGAAGGGTCCAGGAGGCCATAGAGCTTCCGGTAGAAGTCGGGGTACTCCCTGTGGGCCGGCGGGGAAGGAGCAGTGGATGGAGCCGGGCCCGGGAACTGAGGCCTCCAAGGCCAGGGTCTCACTCAGCACCCCTTCCTCCCGGCCAGGGGCTCCGATGCCACAGCCTGTGAGAAGAGCGGGGACCCCGTGGGGCAGGGTAGGAAGGGGACAGGTAAGCAGGGCTGGGCGGATGGGGAAGACCTGCACCCCTGGAGACACTCACAGGTTGTGTTTGTGAATCAGGATGAACAGCCCGTTCAAGGCCAAGAGGCTGAGGGCCCCACCTGCAGACAGACAGACACGCTAGAGCTGCAGTGACCTCGCTCCCACTCCCACTCCCTGCCCACGCTGAGCGTACGCTGTGGAGTGTGGCCCTGCCCCTGCTGTCCCCTCCCACAGCCCCACGGACACAAAGCTGGAGACCACACGCAGGGCAGGGAGTGGGGGGTGGAGGCTGCAGGGTTGGGGAAGAGGTGCTGTGGGGTAGGGGCTGGGGGGTTGGGGGTATGGGAGGCGCTGCTACCGGCGTGAGTGAGGCGGCCGCACTCACCGAGGGGGGTTGGGGTGTGGTGTGAACCAGGCAGCCGCACTCACCAAGGTCACAGGCGCGGGTGAGGAAGTCGATCATGAGCGTGGGCTGGGCCAGCTGCGGCAGGATGGCGTCGTGCGTGATCAGCAGCACCTTCTTGTAGAGGCTGAGGGGCAGCTGAGCGAGGGCCGGCAGGTCAGGGTGAGGCCTCTGCCCTTGGGGAGACCTGGGTACTACCCCCGCCCTCACCAACCAGCCTGGCCCCTACCTTGTGCTTGAGGAAGCTGAGCCACATGGTCTGGAAAGCCTTCCTGTGTTCCTGCAACAGGGTCCAGACTGTACTTGCTGCCCTCCCGACCCCAGACCCAAGAGCCCAAGCAGCTGCCAGGGCACACTGAAGCCCAGCACTGAGCCAACACAAGCCCGCTCTCCACTCTTCTGACCCTGCCCTCCCTCTAACTGTCACCATTCAAGTCAGGAGCACCTCGCCCTCAAGGCTGGGGTCTCAGAACAGCCAGGAAAGAAGCCCTTGGCAAGACGAGGGCCAAGAGGGGGGCTGCGCCCAACACAGCCCACGGGGCCCACAGATGGCACCAGAGGCTTCAGACTCCGAGAGGCGGTGGTGGCCTCTGACCCAAAGGAGGGCCCCGAGTTCACAGGCCTTGTCACCTCCCACACTTCTTTGAGTGACCCGGTGGCCGTGCGAGCTGCCACCTGTACCCTGGGAGTTTCCTCTTGTGAGGAAGGTGGCAGCCTGCACGGGGTCTCACACGCACCCCACACGCACCCTGCAAGCCCAGGAGGGTGCCCGGCTCTCCGGAGGCCACTCACCTTCAGGTGAGCAACCTTCCAAGTGTCCCACAGCTCTGCAGGGAAAGCGAGGACAAAGGTCACCTGACCCTCGGGGGAGGCAGACCAAGGCCCAGCCCTGTCCACCCCTGGCCCTCAGTACCCTCACCCGTGCGCTTCACATAGAAGCTGGAGACGGTGGGCTCCTGGCGGGGCAGGCTCACGGCAGACAGCAGCGTGAACGTGTTGTTCCAGAAGGCCGGGGGCACCTGCGAAGCCAGACCTGAGTGCCTGAGCGCCTGGATGCCACACCCCGGCCCCTGCCTCCCCGGGAGGCACCAGCACGATGCTGGTGACAGGCCCCATCGCTCACCTCGGGGTGCTGGCCAGTGACCCGGGCCACGGCCTCCACGGCCGCCTGCATGGTGTGGTAGCGGGTGTCGTCGTAGTCCAGGTACTCCCGGAACTGGGACAGGAGCAGGCTCTGGTCCTCCTCAGGAGAAAGCAGGCCTCCCACCACCAACTGGGGGCAAGGACCAGTGAGCAGCCCTGCCCAGCCCAGCACGGCCCAGGCAGGCAGCCCCACCCCACCAAGGCCCCGACTCAGACTCCTCCTGGTTGAGTGGGCCATGAGAGGCACCCCACACACACAGGAGCCGCAGGAGGGTCCCAGTCAACAGCCAGGCTCAGCTCAGCAGACCCCGCCCCAACTACAGGGCCACCCTAGGCTCTGGCCAGCCAGCCGGGCCCTCCGGGACCCCCCAGCCGGGCCCTCCGGGACCCCCCAGCCAGGCCCTCACCTTGAAGAGCTCTCGGGGAAACAGGTAGTTGCCTTCCCACTTGGGCTTCTCCAGGGGATGTGCTCCTTCCAGCTGCACGAACTTCATGAGTGCACTGAGGGCCAGCTCCTGGGAAGGGGCAGTGCAGGGTGGCTGTGATGCCCTCAACCCAGATGGGCCCAGAGCTCAGCCCAGTCAGGGAGCCCCTCACAACCAGGCCCAGAGCTGAGAAAAGGGCATCCTGGCCTTCTCTTGTTCCACACGCCACCAGATGGCACTCCGGGATTCCGTGTCCCACCCACGACATGGGCATGACAAGATCTTGAGTTAAAGAGATCCAGTGCTCACGAGAGAGTCTGGCCAGAGAAAGGCACACAGCCCAGGTCTGCTTTATGGCTACCTGACTGCTCTCTCATCACCTGTATCACAGGAATGCCACCATAACCCTTGGGCACAGCTGTGAAAACAGGGGTGTGTGACGCCAGCATGCTGCCCAACTCAGATCCAGGCTCAGAAGCTCTCATCTCAGGGTGGCAAACTCAGTACTTTCAGGGCCCACGCAGATGACACCACAAAGCAAAAGAGCCATGTGTGGAATGACAGGAGCAGGTGCCTATCTCAGAGCTGTCCCTGACTCTCCCTCCAGCCAATTACAGCCACGAACAAACTTAGACCCCAGTGTTGACAGAACTGATTATTTCTTTGTGAAAAGCAGGACGCTGGTTATTTTCACGTAGTATCTCCCCAGCTGTTAGAAGTCTGCAACTCGACTATAACTAGAGACAGATGCATCGGCAAAGACGTGGAATATGGAATGCTCATACTCTGCCAGTGGGAGTGAAAGATGGCGCAGCTGCTGTGGAAAACAGTCTTGCAGTTCCTCACACGTTAGACACAGAACTGCCGTGTGGCCCTGTAATTCCACTGATGAGGCACATTCAACCAAAACAAACATGTACACACAAAAGTTTGTACGTGAACGTTCACAGTCCACTGTTCTTAACAGCCACAGGTGGAAACGACCCAAATGCCCAGCAACGCACGCGCAGCTGACGGGCGCGTGCCGCACGACGGGACACCGCTCAGCCGCAGGGAGGAACCAGCCTCGAACACACTGATGACTGGAAGCCACATACCACATGCTCCCCCTTGTGACGAGCGTCTAGAGAAAGCAAACCCACTGACCCAGAAACTAAATGAGTGGGTGCCTGGGGGTTGGTGTGGA